GGGGGGGGGGGGGGGGGGGGGGGGGGGGGGAGGGGGGGAGGGGGGTGGTGAGGGAGGAACAGGGTGGTGGATGTGGTAGGGGGAGTGAGGGAGAAAGACATAGAGTGAGGGAGAGGAAGGGCAGAGGGAGGGTGGGAAGGCAGGTATGATCAGTGTGATGGAGCATGTACACATGGGACGGGGGGAGGTGTTCATGTTGGAGAGAGGGTGGGGAAGGTAGGGAATGGGGTTATCAGACACTGGGTGTGATGCCTTTCTCTTTGTTGTCCAGGTTCCCAGCTGTCACCGGCCTCTCTCTGTCTGTCAGTAAATTCTCGGGACTCTCTGTGACCTCGACCAAACCCATTGAGCAGTTTCTGAGCTCCGACCACAGGCAGACAGAGACAAACACTTCCCTGTTATCACTGCACCAAGCAGGCAGCCCCCCCCAATGTCCACACAAAGACACAGCAGCTTCAAGCAGGCCCGCTCTCCGTAACATCGCTTCATACTTCCAGAGGGTGAGGAAGCTTCCAGAATCTTCCACAAACCCTGACACAGCCTCTCTGCCTGTGACCCCCTCAGTGAAGGCTCACAGTCATCAGGTGTCACCTCAGAGAAACTTTCCATCAAAACCATCCTTTTTCAAAAGCAGATTTTTCAAAACCAGCCCTGATGCCCCGAGAAGCCCCCTCCCCCTGCCCCTCAGTGATGCCCCAGGAAGCCCCCTTCCCCTCCCTGAGCCTCTGGGACCTCCCATGGAGATTGCCCAGAGCCCACTGTCAGTTGGGAGGCCGTGTGAGAGGCCCCCATCCCCAGTTTCCCTGTTGCGGTGCCTGAAATGTGGTGAGTACAAGCTGCCCTGGGAGATGCCTGAACACGAGGACTTCCACTTTGCCCTTGAGCTGCAGAAGAGCCTGTCAGCAACTCCCTCGGCCCAGAGCACTGCCCACCCCACCACTACCCCGAAAAACAAAGCTGCCAGGCAGCTTGGCTCCCGAGCTAAAAAACCCCGGCTCAGCCAGAGCCTACTCACCTACTTCCAAAAATCCCCACGGTCGTGAAATCAGCCGCGGGGTGGGGGCTGGGGTGTGGGGGTGAGGGAGGGGTGGGGAGAGACGGACTTCACTGCCTCTTCATGGACTGAGAGAGCACTAGCTGAACCAGTTTTTAACGCAGTCTTTTAAAAAACTGACTTTTGTATTTATATATGTAATATTAAATGTAGATTGTAAAGACAGACTTTCACAATATCCCAAATATTACTGAGCTGTTTTATTGGTCCTTTCTTTCTGCTGGGGTTGTGCTGATTGGGAGTGTGTGTCTTTGTGGTGTCTGTCAGTGTCTATAAATGTACTGTCTTGTGGATTACAGGCTAGGCCAGTCTCTGTTATCCTGCCCTCATTCCTGTTGAAAAGCTGCTGGGAGCTCAATGAGATCCTCATGTAGGATGTGTGTGATTGTGAAGTACACACTGAAACTGATTTAGCCACGTCCAAGGAGTTAATGTTGTCAGTGCAGACTTCATCCTGCAGCACATCTACTGACTGCATCAGGATCTGCATTACCTGCTGGTCTCATACCACAGCTTCCATGCTCACACAAGAGGAACAATAGGGAAAGCTGATGTTTCTATGGGACTTGGAGCTGAATAATTCCACCTCTTTGAAATGACCGAGAAATATTTGCATTTCACAAGATAAAAAGGACGCTTTAATTGTGTATTTTCAAAATGTCAGCCTCCAGCTCCTCTCCTCATCAATGGGTTTTAATGGCAGGATAATTGTTATTTGCTCACTATTACTGAGGCCAGCTTTTTAATTGCACTCATTTTATTTCCTGATCACCTCTAGATGATTAGGTTTCTAACAGTGTCCTTCAGGTCAGATTCAATGTTCAAGGTTCAAAACTAGAGATCCTGTTGGGGGTTGGTGGGTTTCAAATAAGCTGCCAAATGAATTTCTTTTAGTGTCACATGTATTTAGGAAAATACTGTGGGGGAAAAAAATGTTTTAATGCCATTTTGTATTACAAAATGAATAAAAAGAAATTATTTAAATAGAGCTTCATTTTCTGTTCAATTCACAGCAAAATATAAAGGCAGAAACATAAGAAATAATGTTCAACTTTACAATCCTTCTTGTGGAGCAAGGCACTGGGTTTTGTTCAAGTTTGGTCTGAGCTGGAGCTGGGGGAAGTGAGGACGTTTGGGTGGGGAGAGAGGGGGTGATGGGTGCTGTGCTGTGCCCAATTGTGGGGAATTGATGCTGGGGAGTGCTGACTCTGTCACTGAATGTCACCTTCCCCCTGGCCGGGCCTCATCCGCCTCCCATCTTCCTACCCCTGGGGGGTGGGGGGGGTGGTGAGGAGTGAGGGTCAGGGAATGTGGGGCTGGGATGGTGGGAGTCAGGTTGGGGAGAGTGAGTCGCAGATGAGATTGGGGGAAGGTGGGAAGGTGTGGGGTCGGGGAGAGGGAGTGGCTGGTCTAGGGGTGGGGGATTGGATTGTGGAGAAGGTGGGGGGTGGATCTGGGGGTGTGAGACTGCTGGGTGGGGTGTGCTTCCTTCGGGAGGGACATGGGTCTGTGTCCAGAGACTAAAGCTATAGTCGGTGAATTAGTGATGACGACACAGTGTCTTACTGGTTAGCACTGCTGCCTCTCAGCGCCAGGGAGCAGGGTTTAGGTGACTGTACACATTCCACACAGCTATTCCCCCTCTCCCATGTCTGCATGGGTTTCCTTTGGTGCTCTGGGTTTTGTCCCACAGTGCAGGGATGTGTAGGTTTAGGTGGGTTAACATGGGAAATGTGGGGTAAAGGGGATAGGGTGGATGTTTGAGTCTAAGTGGAATGTTCTTTGGCAGATTGTTACGAACTCGATGGGCCAAATGGCCTGCTTTGACACTGTAGGGATTCTGAGTCTTATCCATGAGTAAGCCAGCTTGTGCTCTTCCCCCTTGGGCAAACCTGAGAGTTCATTGTTCAGAGTGAAACCTCCCTTTTCTGGTTGGTTTTCAGCTCCACAGTAAGCCTGGCTTGTGTGTGAATGAGAGACTCCACCCTAAGCAGTCCTCACTGGCCTAGCCCCTCCTGGTTATAGCAGCCATGTTGCTGTTCCTCGTCCTACCCTGAGCAGAGAGTGGGGGGCCAGCTGTGTGCAGGTGCAGGCAGTCCCTCCAGACTGAGAGATACAGACACCAGGCAGCCCTTCCCAGACACAGAGAGAGAGAGAGAGCAGGCAGCCCCTTCCTGACAGAGAGAGAGCA